AGATTCCATGTATCCGGACAAGGCTCCTGGCCCGGATGGGATGAATCCAGGTTTCTATCAGCACTTTTGGGATGTAGTAGGGGGGATGTGTCTGAGTTTATAATTACCTGCTTGAATACAGGCAATCTCCCTGAAGGTGTTAATGATACTAATATTGTTTTAATCCCCAAGAAGAATGTACCGGAAAGGGTGGCTGATATGAGGCTGATTGCTCTCAGTAATGTTATATACAGGGTAATGGCCAAGATGATAACGAATAGAATGAAACCATTTATGGGGGATCTAATATCGGAGTCCCAGAGTGCGTTTATTCCAGGGCGCCTGATCACGGATAATATCCTAGTTGCAGCGGAGGTGGGTCATTATTTGAATAGGAAACAGTCTGGTCTAACAGGATGGAGTGCCCTAAAGCTTGACATGTCGAAGGCGTACGACAGGATAGAATGGTCGTTCTTACAAAGAATGCTGTGTGCTATTGGATTTAATCAACAGTGGGTGAATCTAATTATGCATTGTGTCACAACTGTGAGGTATACGATTATGGTCAATGGAGTCGCTGGTGGACAGATAACACCAACCCGCGAGCTCAGACAAGGGGATCCTCTATCTCCCTATTTGTTTATCATATGTGCAGAGGGTTTTTCCATGCTATTACAGAGAGCACAAATGAATGGAGCAATACATGGTTGTAGGGTGGCGAGAGGTGCACCCCCGTTTCCCATCTATTTTTCGCAGATGATAGCCTGCTGTTTTTCAAAGCTAATATGGAGGAGGCAGGTGTAATCAAACAATGCTTGCGCCAGTATGAAAAGTTGTCTGGTCAGAAATTCAATTATGACAAATCTAATATATGTTTTAGCAGGAATACTCAAGAAGGAATAAGGAGGGAGGTGGCGGCGTGTTTAGGGGTCAACCAGGCGGAGAATTTTGGAAAATATTTGGGTCTCCCATCATTCGTAGGCAGAAATAAGAGAGCTGTTTTTTCCTATGTAGAGGACAAGATCAGACAAAGAATTGGTTCGTGGAGTAAAAAGTTGCTTACTCGGGCTGGTAAGGAAGTACTCTTAAAAAGTGTGGCTCAATCTATGCCAACCTTTTCTATGAGTGTTTTTTTGTTACCTGAGACAGTGTGCACATCTATTGAGAGAACCATGAATAGATATTGGTGGGGGTCAGGGCCGGATAGGAAAATACATTGGAAAAGCTTGGGATAAGTTATGTATCCCCAAGAAGTATGGGGATTGGGATTTAAAGATTTACGAGCTTTTAATTTGGCTATGTTGGGAAAACAGGTATGGCGTTCTCTCATAAATCCCAATACTTTAGCAACAAAAATATACAAGGCCAGGTATTATCTGAATACTTCCTTCGTTGATGCTACTATAGGGAATTGCCCAAGTTTTTGCTGGAGGAGTATAATGGCTGCGCATGGAATGGTTTGTTCAGGGGTGAGAAGGCGAATATGGAATGGTGAAAAAACATTAATATGGGGTCATCCCTGGTTACCAGATAATCCCAGTCCGTTGGTCCAGACAGTAATGCCTCAGGAGTTGCGACACGCCCATGTGGCAGGATTGGTTGACCAGCAAACTAATACCTGGGACCCTCATATTCTGGCTGATTTATTTATTCCTGAGGATGTGGCACGGATTTCTATGATTCCTGTTAGCCCTGACTATGAGGATACATGGTATTGAAAGGGAGAGATGAATGGAATATATTCGGTTAAAAATGCCTATAGACAGATTAAAGGGGATTATGAGCATAACACAGGTGATTTTGATAAATGGGTTACTTTGTGGAAACTAAAGATACCACCCAAATGGAAAACCTTTTTGTGGAGAGCAGTTTGTGATATCCTCCCTACTACTGATAATCTAATATGGAGGAGGGGTTGAGATTGAGCCGAATTGCCCAATGTGTCGTGGGACGCAAGAAAACGCCATGCATGCGTTAATATTGTGTGATTATTCTAGATTAGTATGGGAATTGTCGGGATTGCCTGTTACCAATATATTTTCTGATTCATTGTCAACATGGCTTATGGGGGTTTTTAATGTCTTGACAGAGGAACAGTGTGGTCTAGCTGCAGCTATTCTATACAATATTTGGAGTGCCCGAAATATTGCGGTATGGGAACATGCCCTCCCAGGACCGAGTCACACATGGCGCCGGGCGGTGGCAGCCATGCAGGCCTATCGCCGGTCATGCCCCACGGCGCCCGTACCACTGCCCACCGCGGCAACCGTAGCCGGTCCCAGCAGCGTCCCACGTTGTTACGTCGATGCGGGGTACAGACCACATACTGGGGAGGCGACTTATGGAGCAGTACTCATCTCACACCATGGCGGTTTTATTGCAGCAACAAGTGGAAAGCTCTCCGGGGTTCTCTCGGCTACTATGGCCGAAGCGCTCGCTTGCAAGGAGGCACTATCTTGGCTTTAAAATCGGGATATTACGGAGGTGGACATCTTAACAGATTGCTTGGAATTTCGGAATTATCTTCACTCAGGCCGTGCGGCTAACTACTCCTACCTTGGGATCATTATCGACCAATGTAGGACAGCTATATCGCTATTTGCAAAATGTCACTAGTACAAAATTGCAGATAGACAACCATTGTAAAAGACAATCATTTTTATTAGGAATAGTTGCCTATTACAAAACAAGTCCTATTTTAAGGCAACCATTCTATTAGAAATGGTTGCCTATTATAAATCAATTGTTTTTTAAATAAATACAAAATACAATGGGCAATCATTACAGCTAACAATGGTGGCGGATTATTGATCACTTATTTACAAAATTGCCACCGTGAATTTTTGGGCTAAGATTAGGCAACCATTCTTTCAACAATGGTGGCCTATGGTCAATCTTCTATGTTCAATTTTGTACTAGTGTGTTCTTTAAGTTATGTTTCTAGAAATTTAAATTTACATGCCCATACTTTAGCTTCGTTAGCTTTCGATCAGGAGCAATCTATGTACTGGGACTCTGTCCCTCCTGACTCTATCATTCAGTTCATTCATTAATATACAACATTATAAACCTTCAAAAAAAAAAAGTTTTAACATGTCATTCTTATTCTTTTTTTTTTTTTTTTTTTTTTTAATATCAAGAATCTTCAATAACGCTCGGATTATCTTCACAACACACAAACATTTATATCAATCCACCTAAACATCTCACAATACTCTTTCATTAACAAATACAAAATTTGGAGAAATTTGTATTAATCACTTCTCAAAATTTGAATAATGCAAAAGATAGGGTAACAGAGGTACTCACATTAGATAAAATAAACACTTTCTTTTTGTGGAAATGCTCGGAAACATTTACCTAAAGTGACATAATTTTAAGACATCCTAATTGATAGCTGCACATCCTTACATCTATACCGAAATTCTTAATACATTTCAAAAGACATACAATTTGAAACTTGGGACATCTTTTAATCAATTAAACTTTGAACATATACTTGTAACTTTCCTAAAAGATGAATGTTCGAATTTTCAGAATAAAAATTACCTCAATAATGGTAGATAAAGGAATACAATATATGACTATTGGGATAGTGATGGAAGAAAAAAATAATCTAAAAAATTTACATCATTGTCCTTTTAATGTGTCGATTATTATTACAAACTATCGTTAGGTTTGAACAAATATTTGACATGAGAGACTAAAAATGCTATAAAAAAAACAATAAGGGACTAAAGAGGGTTACCATTATAAATAAGGGACTAAGTTGTCCATTATGCAACAATTTACAGATTAAAAAAATACTATTTCCATTATTTCTTTGTAATATTTAATGAAATTAATTTAGAAAAAATATAATGCTCCGAAAGTTGTGTCTGAGTGGAATTAGCATGATTCTGCTACTCTTTGGCTTGAGCTGTTGAGCCTATTATACATACTTTTCTTAGTATGATTTATCTCTCACGTGTGATTTGTCACTTATTACATAAAAAATAAATTTACTCAATATATATTCTCGAATAGTAATTATGATTTCCTTCTTAATTACCTAATTTAAAAAACATACAAATAATACTCAAAAGTCAAAGACCTTGTGGTCAAGTGGTATTGACTTGTTGGATTATGAACAAATATTACATGTAACATGCAAATGCCTCCACTAAGACTTGAACATATCACATTTCACATAGGGAGAAACATGGTACTATTGAAGGGAGAAACATGGTACTATTGAATTACAAGGTCCTTGGTTAACAAGGTACTTTTACTTAAAGTATAATTACAACTTTTAATTATGACAAAATTTATATTTTATTTAAAAATAATGTACAACTTGAAAAGCATAAAAAAAAATAGACATAATTGAGTAATATAACTTTCATCGGCTCTTATAAGATAGTTATTATATTTGGGAGAAGATAGTTATTATATTATTTCACAAATAATTTAATATGGAGAAAATGCTTTTTACCTCTCATAAATTCTTTCATAATATGACTTATAATTGATGATAGAGAAAAAAATAAGTGTGTGAGACCATTTCGTTATGAGACGTGAAACACTTTATTGGAAGGAGAAAAGTTTGAATGTGAATAACACAACTCTTAATTTTTTCTCAGCTTTATTGTTAATGACAATCTGAGATATATGATAAGCAACATTATGGAGATTGGAGAGATAGTGAATTCTATAAATTATCTCAGCTTATCGTCACTTGTAGTAGGATGAAACAAAAAGGAGATTTTGGGATTCCTTAAGAACAAAGTTCTCATCAAGTATATGTGGTCTAATGGTACCCGGGTTGGACTTCCATTTGGACTATTATTTTTAATAATCCAAAAACATATTTAAAATTGAACAAAAAATGTCAATTTTAAAAAAATTGAGAGAACAAATATGATTGTATGAATAATTCAAGAGGAAAAATACTATAACAAGGTGGAAAAGTGTAATTTTTCCTATATTTTATAGAGACATTCCAGGCCATCTCCAAGGCCCTTCGCCTCCAAAGACAAAAATTCAAAAACCCTCTGAAGAGATTTGGCGACAATTGGCAGTTGATTCTTCAGAGCGCGACTTAGAAGCGCATATGGATTTTGTTTGGTATGGAATGGAATTAATCACGCAAAAAGCAGAAGAATCCAGACAGGATTACACGGATTCCAAACTCAACATTGTACAACCACGCAAAAATGAGCAGGAATCCATACACAAACCGTTCGTTACGTTCTTTATCAACTCCAATTCAGCATTTCTTTATCGGCTTTGTCAACTCCAATTCAGCATTTCTTTATCCGCTTTGTCAACTCCAATTCAGAATTTCTTTATCCGGATTTACATTTGCTGGATTGGGTGTCTGTGGGTCCTCTTTTCGAGTGAAGTACAATTTGGGTTCTTTAGTTCTAGGGTTTTCAGTCTTGATTGAGGGGAGAACTCTGTTTGCTGAGAATGATGGCTTCTCCTGCTGCTGCTGCACCTCTTCCATCACAAAAGGAGCTTGAGGAGATGCTCATTGAGTCTGGAATTGAGCTCTCTACACCTCCTCCATCCACTGGCGAGCTTCTCAGCCTCCTTGAAGTAAAATTCTTTCCCTTTTCTTTTGCATATAAAGGTTCAATTATGCTTGGATTGGTTTTCATTGATGGGATTTGTTCACCAGGCAAATGATTATAAAATTTTAGGGTCTCTTTTCCTGGCTGAAAGGATCAATTCTTATGTTGTTGTTGTTCTGTCTACGTTTTATTTAGAAATGTTTATGCTTTCATCTCTAGTTTATTCATATATGTTTTTAGGAACTGACATGTTGAATTACACACACACACTCAAAACTACAGTCCTCATCTGGACATTATATGTTTACTACTGTTGTTTTAACTCTTCTGTTGCATTGCATTTTCTTTTAGAAAGCTGAATCAGAACTGAAGAGCATAGGGCAAGACCCTTCAGTGTCGATGAGAAATGTACTTGAGCCAATTAAAAAAGCGCTGATTGAAACGAAACTTCTGAGACATTCTGATAAAATCATTGAGGTTTCTGTTGCATCTTGGATCTGTGAAATTATGAGAATATCTGCACCCGTTCTACCCTATGATAATACAGAAATGGAGGTATTTAATACTTTTTATATGTTCAAAACTTAGGCCGGGTTGCAAACAATTTTAGTATTTATTTATTTATTTATTATTTCTTTCTACTTGAGCAGTCTAACATATATCATATATGTGCATCTATGTTTAAAAAATATCATCTTTTGGTTCTCAGGTCGTTTTCCATCAGATTATAGCATCCCTTGAAAAGTTATATTTCATTGATAGTAACTACTATAGTAAGGCTCTGAGAGTTCTTGAAGCGGTTGCGAAGTACAGGTTGTGTGTGATGCTATTGGATTTTGACTATGTGTTAGCTGTTAACGTTTTCCAACTGTTTCTCAAAATCATCAGGTATTTTCTAGTTGTTCATATCATATAGCGTTACACACTATAGTATAATATTCTCCTATATTGTACATTTGTACTCTTTAATGAGTCTATGGAATTGACCCTTCACTTTCTATCAAGCTTCAACCATACCAATGCTGTGTTAAGATACATGGTAGACATCATGTCTCAGCTCATAGAAGAAAGAGATGAAGTCTCACTAGATTTTCAAGTTTCCATTCTTGATAGCCTCAGAAAGGAAACTCTGGTAATAATCACTATGCAAATATTGATGCTATCTCCAAACATTGTTTTCAATTATTTGATTAACTAGGTATGTTTTTATCTAGGCTACTGCACCTTGTTCATCGATATTGGGAAGCGAAGTCTTGGAAAAGTGTGCTGCCAAATTGAAGCCTTGTCTTTTAGAATTAATGACAAATATGAACATGAATTTGGATGATTATTCTAAAGTACTTGGATCAATATTGCATGAAGTTCCTGAGGGAGAAAACATGGTATCTATGTGTTTGCGTATTTTTCATTAAACTTGTTGACTTTCTACTGTTGTATTTCCTTTGAAGATCAGAAGATGTTTATAGATTAAGATAGTTTGGGTGTGTTCAGCGTATGCTCTTGGATAGAATGAGCAGTTGGAATCTGTAGAAGGCTAGAGGCTTGGTGAAGGGTGTAGACATTAAGAAAGACGTACTATTGCAAGAAGCTGATGTAGGCATGTAGCATTAATGACAATGAAATGGAGAAACAGAATCCATATAACTGAACTTAACTGGGCTAGGATTGGTTGAGTTGGTAGTGAAGGTTTGGTAGTGAAGAGATGCATTAATTTTAGGGAAAATTGCAATTTTGGTCCTTCAGTTATAACAACGGTACAAACTTAGTCCCTGAGTTACATGCGTGACCATCTTTAACCCCTAAGTTATGCACGAAGTGGCGATTTTAGTCCCTAAGGGACTTTCTACCACCAATTTGTCACTTACTAAAGTGGCTGATTTGGTCCTTCAAGGACTCAAATTGCCACTCCATGCATCACTTAGGGGTTAAAGATGGTCACGCATCTAACTCAGGGACTAAGTCTGTACCACAAGTATAACTGGAGGACCAAAAATGCAATTTTCCCTTAATTTTAAAATCATAGAACCATTTATCCTTAAAGAAGAAGTCTTTAATACTGTCTAGATTTAAGTCATGGGCATCTGATCTGCTTGTTTTATGCTGTCACTTGCCATTCTACATTGAGATATGATGAATATGATATTCTTCCGTGTTTGTGGGAGGAGGGGGTTTCCTTCTAATGGATAACAATCTAATTTTTCATTTTTTCGTGAATGATCAGGTGGAAAATGCTGGTTCTGTACCACCTGTAGAAGGAACATCTGCTCTTCAACTTCCTCAGGTACCACTACTGGATGCCACTCAAACAATGAATAACAATAACAATAACCTGGAACTTGATGGGTCATTGAAGGCATCTTTTGGGATGAACGAAAGCAAACGCTCTGATGAAGAACCTACTATCAAGAAGGAACAAGAGAAGAAATCTTGGAGCTCATTGGACATTAATGCAACTTCAATTGTGTTAACTTTGCCAGCTGTAACTGGAAAGGAGTCTGTGACTAAGCCTGATGTGTTAGCCCCCAGCAGCACAAAAAGTCCTTGCAAAAGGGGCCAACCAAAGAAGAATCAGACAGATCTCACCGTGCAAAAGAGATATGAAGGGACTAGGTCTGCCCAGAGAAAACTTAAAGAAAAGGTACTACTGTAATGGTGCTTGCAGATTCTCTAGATTTCTGGTTAGAGTAATCTTTGTGATTCTATCTATTCAGTTTGCTAATCATTATATTTCTACATTGCCTTAACCCATAACTAATTGGTTTGCATCTCTTTATTGAGTTCTATTAAAACATAAATTTCCATCTGCCTCTTTCTGTTCTATCTCTAATTAGTACCATATTAGTGGTTTAGGATATCTTACTGCTAAATTCTGTCCTCTAATTAGTACCATATTAGTGGTGTTTGGCTGCACAATGGAAAACTGTCTTTATGTATTTGGTTCATTTTCCAGAGAATGAGCAAGAAAACATACAATAGATGTGACTTCATGTATAAACCCAAAAAAAAAAAAAAATTAATTTTTTTAATAACATTGAACTGGTTTCCTTGCCGGAAACTAGACCAGAGACTGGTTTGATTTCCGGCAAGGAAACCAATCGCCGGAAACCAGATTAGTCAAGGAAACCAATCTGGTTTCCGGTATCTGGTTTTCCAAGTCGGGAACCAAACTGGTTTCCGACTTGGAAACCCAGAATTTGGATTTCCATGTCAGAAACCAATCCAAATTGGTTTCCGACTTGGAAATCCAGAACTAGATGATTCCAATTCGGAAAATAGTTTCCGATGTCGAGAAGTGATGCGATGAAGAAGCCTGAAGCGGAAAATGACTTCCCCTAAAAAAAAGGAGAAGTCATTTTCCATAAAAATGACTCTATTTTCCATTGACCCAATTTCATTTTCCTTTGACTTTAGTGTTTTCCTACTTACCAAACACTAGAAATCATTTTCCGGGTTTCCAAACACACCCTTAATGTATTCCAAGAAAATAAAAAAATTAGGAACTTAGTATCATATTCTCCTTCTTGCAACCAGTGCACCCCTAGACATATGTTGAACTTGGGGTATCTCAGCATTAAATCCTTTCCACCGTAAGTGTACCAAAAAAGAATGCATAATTGGTAATACTATATTATTGCACTTTCTAACGAGTGTGTTGATTGTGAGGGATTGAAAAGCCTAGTGGGTGGTGTCTAAGCGGAAACAAAATATGTGAGAATACTTGGAATAGAGAGAATATATGATTATGTTAATAATAATAGATTGTCTCTCTATGTTTCTTGAACGGTATAGAGTGTATAGAGATTCTATATTTATAGAAACATTGGGTTAAACCACTCCTACCTTGAATAGGAAATCAAGATTACTCCTAATAGGAATAGGACTAAGGCTTCCTATTATTCAACACTCCCCTCAAGCTGGAATATCTAGAAGTTCCACGCTTGAATTAAAACAAACACTCCACCTAACTCAAAATTACAAATGAAGATTAAATGCTGCTAGAGGATAATAGTGTTGAATGTCGTCGGAAGACATGGCACTATACACAACCCTTGGAAATGAAGTTGAAAGCATCAAGGATGGATTTGAACATGAACAAGCTCAAGCTAACAAAGTGACACAAACACTCTTGAACAAATGTAAAAAAGCCTTCATCAAGAGTAGAGGTGAAATGGAGCAGGAGCAATAAATGGGTACATATGGTCCCTAGCAATGAAGATAGCAAAAGCGATAAAGAGACGCCCCATAGCAATGAAAGAACAAAACATGCGTGGTTCATGGTAATACTCCCCTAGCCACCCTTTCTTGAAACTTGAGAAATAATAAATGGCCTTTGGACATAAAATATTATAGTGCCGATTGCCGAAATTAAACACCCTCAGGGAACAAATAAGGCACACTGAAAATGAAGAAGCAAATACGGTAATACCAAAATTGAACTCCCTTAGGAAAGAAACTTGACAACGGATCCAAAAATCCTTTAAATTTCATAAAAGACCAAAATTTAGAGAAAAAGGGACAATGGAACACCATTGGCGATTCTTAGAACAAGAACCTATGCAAGATAGTTGGAAAAGTTGATTTCACATATCTCACTATGAGAAAGAGATTTGAAGCAACTAGGCCTTCCAAGGGAAATCATGGGAGGAGTTCATGCAAGAGTGAGGTATCTCCTAGTTTGACTGTACGTATAAAGAAGAAGGAAAAAGAAATAGCCAATGATGCAGACTTGCAGAGAAGTCATCTCTTCAACGAAATCATCACCAAAATATAAGCACAAGAACTAAACACTTGAGGAAGCAAGCTTTAAACAAAGGAATGGTACCATTGTAATGTTTTATATGAAGAGTCATATTTTTAAAGTTTAGGTTTCTTACTTGTATATATACTCTGTTGTACCAACCATTTGAATCTATCAAATCCAAGTATCTTTCTTCACATGGTAACAAACTAGGCTCCTTTCACCAACAAACCGTTCTTGTCTCGATGCATCTCTGGCTGTTGTTTGAAAAACTAACGCCACAATCTTACTCAGAAGTCAGGACGACGTTACCATGAAGGGCTATCGCAACAAACTCAACTTTGCCTTAACCCGTATTGAATTGATTGCATTTCATTATGGTCCTATGATTATTAGGGTGTTGTCAATTTCAGTCCACAACTTTCAAAACTAGCAATTTAGTACCGTAACTATTTAATTTTTATCAATTTTAGTCAGTACGGCCAAATTGCTAGCCAATTATCGCCAATTTTTATCCACATCTCACCTGCCTCTATATTAATTCAAACAATGGTTTACAAATTATCTTTCATTTTAACACTGAATTAAAAGATTTCGGCGACAATTGGCCGACAATTTGACAGGGCTGACTAAAATTGATAAAAATTGAAAAGTTAGGGTATTAAATTGTTAGTTTTGAAAGTTGTGGACTCAAATTGACAACACCCCAATAGTCATATGACCAAAAGTGAAATTTACTCTTGAACTTTATTATAACTTACAATTTGCAGTGAAAAATTGGGATATAATTAGTACCATGGTAAACACTGTCCCCCATGGCCCCATTAATGTACCCAAAAAAATTAAAAATTAAAAACTTAGTATCATGTTATCCTTCTTGCAACCAGTGACTCCTAGACATATGTTGAACTTGAGGTAACTCAACGGTAAATCCTATCCACCACAAGTGTACCCAAAATGGATGCATAAAAGATTATACCATATTATTGCACTTTCCGATGAGTGCAACCCTAGATGTGTGTTGACCTTATTGAAACAATATTAGTTGATTCTCTTTGTCCGCCTTGAGAAGGGTCACATTCTACTTTGTTTCAAAAAAAGTTTTTTTTAATATGATCATCTCTTATGTTCCAATATAGCATAGTTCTTTAAAAATTAGGCAAGTACCATTTCTTATGTATTTTATTGAATATATACATATTAGTTATTACTCCAGAATATAAATTTTTATTTTCAAAATTCAATTTATTAGTATAAAAACATAAGCTTGGTTAAATTGGCTGATAGAATTGTAAAAGGGGCACAAATGGGATGGTGAGTAATTCATTTTAGATTATTAATAGAAAGAAAAAAAATGTCCGGAGACACATTTTGGAAATGAGAATTCTTAAAGCTTCATTTCCCTAATGTGTCTTTTGGAAGACTTTACTATATTCATCCTATCAAAATCCGCATTAGAGAATGCATCTTTTAACCCCATTTTTAAACACTTCTGCTCAATTGCCTGAAATCTTTCTATATGAAGTCTTTACGGAGGCAATCATGCTTGTGACGGTGAGGATTAGGGAGAATGTCTGATGCATTTCATAGGAGATAAGAAGTAAAGTTTTTCATCTAAATCCAACTTCCTTTATGACTATGGAAGAACTTGGCATTTATCAAGTGAACCTTTTTCACTGAAAATATAAGTTTTTTTTTTTTTTTTTTTTCCCACAAGTCATACTTATGAAATGCAGTTTTCTTAAAATTACATTTCTAAGATGCGACATCTTTTAATTTTCTTAGCAACTACAAATGTTATATAGTACTATTATTTTGCTATTGAAAATTGGGTAATACATAATTAGTCTTCATTAAAATTTGCTTATTTTTGACATTTTGTATAAAGTAAATAAAATATGTATAATTTATGAACTTCCCAGTATAGCCATTTCATTGATATTTTACATCTAACTATGACATTTTACCCTATTTGTTTTATATGTCATTACTCTCTTTTGGGCAAAATAACCAAATGTGTACACTTATGGTTTTTATTCATATTCAGGATTCTAAAAAGCTTCATACTATTAAAGATTACGGAAAAGAGTTGGTAGGGGCTAAAGTCAAAGTCTGGTGGCCCCGGGATAGAAGGTAAGTACTTAAGAAGGGCAAATTGAATGACTGTCTTAGTACCCATTGAAATAGAACGCTTCACTTGTTCCATTATTACCTATTGAGATGGAAAGCATCACTTGTTCCATTGATTACAACATTTGACAATTTCCCTTGGTTGTTAACAGCTTGTGCTTTTGAACTTCAAATTCAATTTTATAAATTTGACACTTAAGGTTATAGGTCTGAAAGATGAATCCTTTTGAGATATCGCATTTACATTATTTGAATCCTATGGTAAATATATACAAATTGTTGCATTTAATTTGTAAACATGTAGCTTATGCACTTTTGATTTATTCTTTTAATATGTATTTTTAAAGTTTTGCTTTTTTAAGTCTAAGAAGCGCTGCCAAGGACCTTGTGGTCCAATGGCACCAAGTTGCTCCCTTATATGGGAGGTTGTGGGTTCGACCTTCAGTGGAGGCGATTAGGTTGAAAAAGTAGCTATGAACAGAATAAAAAAAAAAAGTCTAAGAAGTGCTATTAAGTTGTTTAGTAAATTATGCTTCTCTTTACAGGTTTTATGAGGGGGTGATTTCTTCTTTTAACCCTAAGACGGAAAAGCACAAGGTACATAAGCCCAACGGGCAGATATTTCTGTATTTTATGTATTGCATATAATTGCCCGGGCAGATATTTCTGTATTTTATGTATTGCATAT